TGTGTGTGTGTGTGTGTGTATAACTCTGATTTATTTACAAAGTTTGAATACATTGTTTTCACAAAAGATCCTATTTCCTTCACCCCATCCACCTATCAAGTTGTGTAGCCCTATGATTAACACCCTACCCACCCCCCATCCTCATCCCTCTATTTCCACCCTCCCCCTGCCCTGGATCCTCATATTCATTGTATAATAATGGCTTTGTACAGTATTTGTCCTTGTGGGACTGAGTCAGTTCACTCAGCATAATGCTCTCCAGTCCCTTCCAAGTTAGGTAGTAATTTACAAAACCATTGCTCCTGCGTGCTGCATAGTATTCCACTGTATGAATGTACTACAACTTCTCAATTCATTCTTTTGTGGTTGGACATCTGGGCTGTTTCCATGTTCTTGTGATGGTGTTGCCATTCTTTTACATTAAATTCTAAAAATTTCAAAAACGTGTAACCATTGGTTGCACGGCCTGACTGAGTAAGTGCTTTTTTTGTTCATTGTTAAACAGGACTTAATACTACTATTAACAATTGTTAGTCGTCAAGCACTCGACTGTTTTAAATTTTGTTGACAATAAAGTTTCCATTCAAACTCAACTCATTCCATCCAGTCGGTATTAGCACATAGCTGACCTTCCACTGAATCTCTAACTCTCCATTCATTGGAATCTCTAACTCTTCACTGAGTCTCGTATCCTCCATCGGGTCTCTAACCTTCTATTGAGTATCTAATCCTCCATTGGGTCTCTCACTTGCTATTTGGCCTCTAACTCTCCACTGAATTTCTTAGACTGTAAATTGCACAGAAGGAGATGGATCATCCTTCTCCAAAGGAGTAAGCAGCTGGTATATTCAAACCACCAGGAAGGGGAACGTTTCAGTAAGCAGCTCAATAGAGTCCCTACAGACTATGTTCACGTTAACACCCTCCTTTTAGTTTACGAGATGCCAACATTCAGAAGGTAAAGGCTCCACTCAAAGTGGTCTTGCTCTGTATGTCCATACTCTCATGCTCACTGCCATCAAGTAGATTCCTACTCATAACAGTTCCCCATCAGGTTTCCAAGGCTGTAAAATTTTACAGACGGGTTCTCATCTCTGTCCTAAGGAAGCTAGTGGATTTGAACAGCTCATTTTTGGGTGAGTAGAGCAGTACACAATACACTATGCTACCAGCACTTCTTTATAACCTCAGGGATGAAGAAATAACTTGATAAGTAGAGGCTGAAAAGGCCATGTCTAAATCTCATGAGGAAAGCGTAGCTCAAATTAATTGCTCTAGAACTATGGATTACTAGAGACTCTGCACTTACAAATCGTGTAATTTTTAGAAAATATTTTAGTGTGGGATGAAGAACGCTGCTCGTATAGTGTATTGTGTGCTGTGTGTTGCTCAGCTCACACACAAGAATTTGAAATAATTGAGTGGTGGGTTTTATGTTGAAAAGTGTTACATTAGCAAACATACTCTCAGTTAACACATGAATTGCACAAAGAATTCACTTTGTATTCAAATTTTATAAATAAACTAGTAGAAAGGGGAAAAATGCTAAAAAAAGTGAAACTGTCAACTAAAAAAAAAAAAAGAATTCACATACCTACAAGCCTTTTAGTCTGTGCAGCAAACTCTTTGCTTTGCTCGGTCCACCTTTCCTTTTCACCTGCCAAGCCACTGATCAGCGTGGATGCCGTCTGCATCTTGTGTCTACACCGCTCTGCATCTTCAAGTAAGGTCTGCAAAGATCATAATCAGAAGAAAACTTCTGAGATCAATAGAGTTCCTAACTAAAAAAAAATACTATTTAAGAATATTTTACATAATCTTCAAAAAAAAGACCTGTACTTCATAGGAAGATTCAACTGCAGTGGTACTCCTGGTATACCAAGTCTACCTCTAAAGCGAAGGACCCAGGCAGGATGGTCAGATTATCTTTTCAAAAGTTGTTTCACCTCATAGCAAACCTCCACTGCTTGGGCTTCTGGGGCTGTGAATCTAGTCGAAGGAGATTGTTCAGCTTTCTCCCAAGGAGTCACTGGTGGATTCAAACCACCTTTGGGCTAGCAGTATATAGCTTGCTACAAACTGCACCACTAGAACTCAATAAAATCATCCCCAGATATTAATAATTGAGAGACAATGGACATTTGCATCATTTATTATTTCCTTGGGGAGAAAAAACCAGAAGCATATATTCTAATTCCGGATATCACAAAAATGTAAATAAATACAAACTGCCAGTTTAAAGCAAGATATTTTTAGGCAATAGAAATGATTAATACACTTGGCTACTAACCAGAAATCTCATTTCCATACCACTAAGTGCCTGGTAGAAAAAAACTAGTGATCTATTTGAAAAATCTTTGGAACATAGTCTATTCTGGTGTACAATTGTCCCAGTGAGCTGGGGTCAGCTTCAGGGTAATTTGAAAGTTAAATGTTGGGGCTGTTTCTTCAATTACAGTTTGGTTCATTTATCTCCACAGCTCTTTCTCTGGACTATGACGCTCTAAATCTCCTACATAAAGATAATCATCTTCACAGCAGGCTATTTACTATTGTTCCTCATACCAAAAGCTCAGGACTCAAACTCACTGTCATCAAGTCAGAAATGACTCAGAGATGACCCTCCAGTAGGTTTTCAGAAGCTGTCAATCACATGAAAGGAGATCGACCATCCTTCTCCTGAGAAGCTACGGGTGAATCCCAACTTGTAGAGAGGCATGACCTTTGGGAAAGCATCAGAACTCCTAATGGTCTACCGCAGGAGAGCTCAGACCAAAGACTAAGCTTTAGCCAGACCTCCACTGACCAATGCCCATCAGTGCTTCTAGCTTAAACTCATAGCCATCAAGTCAGTTCTGCCCCACAGTGACCACTGGTATTCTGAGACTATAATTATTTACAAGAGGACTTTACTTCTTCTTTCTCCCTCTTGGTGGGTTTGAACTACAGGCCTTTCGGTGAACAGTCTGGCTGTACCATCAGGGGTCCTTCCATATAGACTACCACCTAGGAAACCCTGTGCTGTGGTTCTCCTATAATGTCACTATAAGTTCGAATCAGCCCAACAGCAACAACAGGTTCTTCTAGGGAATGATGATTGGGAGGAACAGTCAGGAGTAAATTCTGGCAGCATGAGAGGAAGAAGCTGATTCAGCCACAGCCTAGTCAAGGAAAGGTGCAGAATGTCACAGTGCCCCTAGAGAGGTGATATGCTCTCAAAGGTGCTCAGAGAGAACGGATTCCCAGCTAAAGACCCAGTGTCTTTGCATAGAGTAATAGGGTATGCATTGTTTCTTGGGACCATGTAGTTACTGGTGGCATTGTGATGACATAAAGTACTCTCTTCCCTGCCTTCTGTCAGCCCATTTGTCTTCTGGACTCTTGGAGTTCTGCAGAAGGGGCAGGAAACCAAAGAAATCCCAGGAGAATGTTCACCTCAGTAAGCTAGAAGCTTGGGGCTCAAGAGCTCAGAGCCAGAGATTTGGCATTTATTAATCAAGGATGTTTCTCAAAACCTGAGTTTTGCTCTCTAAATTAGAGACAGATCTCACCATTGTAATCGTTTCATGAATGTAGGATTATCTAAAAAAAAAAAAAGTGCATACTCAAAAGAATTGAATCAATGGATTTAAAAATATTCAAACTTAAACACTATTTATCAAAGTAGTAAAATAATGTTACTATCCTCCTTTTTTGTGTTTCCTGATAGGATAGAACATCTGATAAGCACAAGTGAACACACCTTCCTTATAGTGTTGACTTTTGCAAATAGAAGTGATCACTTTGTCTTTCTAATGTGATGTCAGGGATCTCTGTTGTGCTAAAGAGCTGCACTGCCAATCCAAAGGCACTCAGTTCAAAGCCACTAGCTGTCCTACAAGAGAAAGATGGACAATCTCCTCTCATGCAATTTACTGCATAGGAAAACCAGCTGGAGGGTCAGCTTTGAGTTGGTTCCGGCTCAACAGCACATAGCAACAACGTGATCTAGAAATCCCACAGGGACCACTCATAAAAACTCAAATAGTGATATGAATTAGGTCTTGAATTCTTCTAAATAAGCGTGTATTTTGCTCTCAGGAAATTTGTCTTTAAGAGACATACATATTTTATGTATGCACTCCATCTATAATGAAATTGAACTTGTTCTCTAAGCCCCCTTACCAGGTATTGCAATGTAGGAACACAGTAACAAGAGGTGTCTCAACTCAGGATAATGAGAAAGGGAAACCTGAGAAAGGAAGGCGTGAATCCTATAAAATTATCATGGAAAGAGTCAGTGAATCTAGGTTTTCTTTAACAAACATGGGTTTGGGATTTTTTTTTTAGGCTGATTATGGAACCAGAAAATAATCATGAAAGCTCATTTTAACTAAAAAATAGTAGAGAGATATTATAAATAGAAAATAAAGTGAGTTGTTGTTGTCGTTGTTGTTATGGGCCGTCAAGTCACTTGCAACTCATAGCAACCCTATGTACAACAGCCCTAAACTCTGCTCTATCCTGTGCCAATTGCACTGCCACTGGCACACCTATCCCGATAACCCCAGTCACTGAATCAATCCATCTCATAGAGGGCCTTCCCCTTCTGCACTGTCCCTCTACCCTACCAAGCATGATGTCTCTCTCCAAGGACCAGTCCCTCCTTACATGTCCAAAGTATGTCATACGAAGCCCTAGAATCTTTGCCTCCAAGGAGCAGTCTGGTTTAACCCTCTCCAGGGTTAGTCTGTTTCTTTTCTTGGCAGTCCATGGTACATTCAATACTCTTCTCCAGCACCACAGCTCAAAGGCATCAATTCTCCTTCTACCCTTCACAGTCACTGTCCTACTCTCTGATGCGTAATTCATGAAAGTTAGTATGTATTGGAAATAAGGAAAGCAAGAAGCTGCTACAAACCCCTAGGACTGAGAAATTCAGGTCAGCTTCCTCTGAGATCTTTTTAGGGCTTTTACCCAAATGTTTATTGATTACAGCTTAACTTGCTGTCTCCAGAGTATATTCTACAGCTCCCCACAACCGCAGCTCCAGTGAGCCTGGCAAATGAGGATCACTGTGGCTTAAACAACAACCACTCTTTCTGTCTTGATTATCAGAAGGAAAGATCCTCAGTGGTGCCGGAATCAATACATATAAGATCATTAAATCACCCAGTGGATTTCTGAAAATTATCAAAGCTTCAAAATACACATAGATGGAGAAGGTCACATCCTAGGAATATGACCATGCAACTAGTCACCTTTGTCCAGCAGAGATTCTGAAGCCGACATCAGAAGAATGAGGTCTAGTGGAGACCACCACTTACCAGCTCTATGACCAGGAGCCCTTCACTTGCCCTCTGGGGCCCCCAGTTCTATTATCTAAAATAAGACGAAAACACTCACTCTGCCTATCTCGTGAGGTGGTTTCAAAGATTAAGTGAGATCAAATGAGAATATATGATTTGAAAAACACAAGCAAAGAAATTCTACATAGGATGTTCTTATTGTTGTTTGCTGTTGTTAGGTGCCGTTGAAGGGAGTAGAACTCATAGCGATCCTATAAACAACAGATCTGAACCCTCTCTATCCTGTGCCATCCTCCCCACCTGTGAAGCACTTGATCCCATTGCTACAGTTACTATGTCAATCCACTTTGATGGGGACCTTCCTCTCTCTGCGTGATCCTTCACCCTTCCAACCATGGTATCTTTTTCAAAGGAATAAGGGCACTCAGATATTTTAGATGATTATCCAGTTTTGGAGTCAAATTTGTTTGACCATCTTGACATGCCGTTAAAAAGCGTCTGGTATCTATTAAAAAACAAACCTGAGGGCTGAGTGAGAGGTTAAGTGCTATGGATGTACGCAGGAGAGGGATCACCACACTAAGGAAGTCTTTGGAGAGACAAAGCAGAAAGGTAACAGCCGACAAAGGTCAAGTTGATGTGTGGCAAGCCCTCGCATTCTCGAGGATGCCTACCTGCTTCTCTGTCATGGCCTGTTCATACTCAGCCTGCACCACGTCGAGCTCTGCTTGCTTTTCGTCCAGTTCAGCCTGGGCTTTTTGCAGGTCCTGCATGGCCAGGACATAGCGATTCTCCTGCACCACCAAGTTAGCCTGCGTGGAACACACATAGAGTAAAGGTGTGGGCAGCAAAGGTTCCAAAATCCAGAGCTGCAAAGCTGTACCAGTCCAGTGTCAACTCTTTATACAGGTGCCTTGCTCAAGTATTCTTTGCAGATACTATATTGTTCAGATGTGCTGTGACCTTTTACCAACCAACTCTCTCAATGCCATTTATCCAACAGCATGTATTCATAATCTTTCAAATTAAAAAAATAAGCACCATAGTTGGTGGTACTTCTCATAACCTTTCAAAGATTCTTACAGTCCTATGGCACATGTAATAGACTACAGCATAAGTTATGCTGTTGTTATGTGCTGTAGAGTCAAATATAACCCATACTGATGTTTTGTTTTGTTATATTTTTCTATTTATTTATTTTTATTTTATGATACTTTATTTACAAAGTTTGACTACATTGTTTTTCACATCAGAGCTTTCCCATTTCCTTCACCCCCACCCTCCACCCATTAAATTGTGCAACCCCATGATTACTTCCTCTCACTCAACCTCACCCCTCATCACCCCTCTGTTCCCACCCTCCTCCTACTTGGATCTTCAAACTCGTTCTACAAGAATAGCCTTATACAATATCTGTCCATATAGGACTGAGTTAGTTCGCTTAGCATAATGCTCTCCAGTTCCTCCCAAGTTAGGTAGTAATTTACAAAATCATTGCTCCTGCATGCTGCATAGTATTTCATCATGAAAATGCACCATAATTTCTCAATTTATTCGATTGTGGTTGGACATTTGGGCTGTTTTCATGTTCTTGTGATGGTAAATAATGCTGCTATGAAGATTGGTGTACAAGTTTCCATTTGTGCCTCAGTTCTCATTCTCTCGGGGTATATTCCAAGCAGTGGAATACCTGGATCATATGGAATTTCTATGTTTGGCTTTTTAAGAAAGTGTCAAACTACTTTCCAAAGTGGTTGTACCATTTTACAATCTCACCAACAATGTCTAAGATTTCCTATCTTGCTACATTCTCTCCAACATTTATTAATTGCTGTCCTATTAAACTTTGCCACTGCTTCTGGAGTG